TCCGGCTGTTTTTCTATTCAATCTCCCTCCTCCGACCTCCAAACTCACATCCGCCACCTCCACTGAGTTTCTAGCGTCTGGGCGTCCGTTCCTCAGAGTTTTGGTCATTTTATGCGGTGGTCGAGTCGCCAGCGACGAAACTCCAGCGAGACTCAGGCGAGCTCTCCGGGCAATTTTTCGCCGATTTTTTGTGATGTTTCTCCATTCCCTCGCCCTTCCCGTGGTATCTATTTGAGCCTCCATGTGTGTTTATCTATTCATCTTGTCTAATTTTGGAGGATTGCTACCAAGGGTTCTAGGTGAGGAATGTGGGATTGGAGCTTCAATTGAATGAATTCAGTAGGCCTTTGGTTTTGCATGCTTGCCTGAACGTCTTTATGTCCGCTTGAACGAGTTGGCCTACTGATTGCATGTTTTGAAGGGTGGAATTTATTTTGCTTGGTGTTGAGAATGGATATATGGTGCTTGATTGGTGGAATTTGTGAATTTTCTTATTCGAGGGCTCCAAGTGCAGTTTATCTTGTTCCTCTTCATTGATCATGTGTCTATGTATGGCTTGTGTGCATGTTGTCTTTTGGTTGCAGGACCATGAACGACTACCTGAACATGCTAAGCCGCGATCAGAGGAAGACTCTGCGGGAACTCCGGACCCGTGCTTTCTTTGAACACCATTACCTCGATCTTGAGGTCTTTGAGGAGTTGGGTTCTTGAGAGGCAATGGAGGCTGCTGTTCGCACCTACTCTTGGTGGCGCCTCCTCTGCCTCTCTGAGACGACTTATAAGGAGCTCGTATGGGAGTTTTATGCCACCTACAAGCACTTCCAGACCCGAGCTGGCACACACGACAATGCCATCCACTTCACCCTAGGCGGGGAGGCTCACTCCCTTACTTATGATGACTTCGCCAAGGCCCTGGACCTTCTTCTTCTAGTTGCTTGCCACATTGCCATCGAGCTAGCGGATCCTGCGGCCTTCCAGGATTAGTAGTTCTTCGAGAGGATTTTCCTTTCGGAGTTCGCTAGCGCTGTGTTCACGCCTGGTCAAACCATCGCTACTCAGTTGTGCCCTGAATGGCGCATCCTTAACCAGCTGTTGGGCAAGTCCTACGTACCTAGCACGGGCTCAGCCAGTCACCTCCAGCTCCACACTGTCTTTCCCACACTAGATGAGCCAAGAGGAAGACAATCTCCATTTGGCCTCTGTCATTGCCAGGACACTCGCCAAAGACACTCGTTGCGGTCGTGCTCACGTTTGTGGGCCGGTGATCACTTTTTTGGCCCGGTATTACGAGATTAACCCCACCGGTTTCACTCCGATCCTGCTGTCGACCCCTTTTAGCTGGGAGAATCTCCGGATCCAGCTTTTACTGAAGCACGAAGGGGTCGTGACCTAGATTCGGGGGCTCCCTCAACCTCTCTAGTGTACTAAAGGATGTCGATCTCCCTAAGGCGATTGCTACCGGAGCTCGTCGTGGGCCCCGTCGACCTACCGGCCGTACCCAGGCCTCTGCAACTGCCCCATCTAGTTCTTTTGCTGACCCTTCTGCTACTGCCCCTCTGCCTATTTTGCTGAACAGTTGGCGGGCATTTCTGGTCAGAACGAGCATATTCTCTTCGGCAAGGAGAACCTTAACCGCCGCCTCGATCACGAGCGAGATGCTTGTCGCCGCATCATCTCTGGATAGCACTACATGATTCAGTACTTGGACATGGATCCTGTTGTTGTTCACTACCCCTGGGTGGCTTCCACTAGGTACGAGGATGACTACCCCCCTCCAGCGGGTGATAGAGGCAATGAGGCCTAGGTTGGCTTCGACTGATCCCTTCTAGAATGGTGAGTTATGGTTTTCCTTCATTTCAGACTGAGACTTCGTTGTCTGTTTTTCTTTTTCTTTTTTTGTGGATTGTAGACTTGGAACTATGGATTTTATTCCCGTGTGTGTGTGTGTGTGTGTGTGTGTGTGTGTGTGTGTGTGTGTGTGTGTGTGTGTGTGTGTGTGTGTGTGTGTGTGTGTGTGTGACTCTAGCTCTATGTCTTTCGAATGGTCCCCTTCCAGTCATTTGCTGTTGACTGGTCTGCCTTCAGTCGTCGTTCCCGGTCGTCATTTCCTGGTAACATCATTCCCCTTTCCTCTACTCCATTGAGGGTAATGTCGAACTTAAGTATAGGGGGTGCTTTGTCATTATTGGAACATATGTTTGCGTTCTTGGAGCCTAGTCCGTTGTCCAAATTTTGAGATTTGAGGGCTCCAAGTACTGATGTTTGCATGATCATATTGGCACTGTGGTTTACGTGGTGAATCAATTGCCTGTTAACATTGATGTGTAACAACTTGTTGGTGACTAGGACAACCTATAATGATTACTGAGGCGTGTAGTAGAGTTGTGTAGAGGTTCAGTTTTTCAACTGTTTGCTTGCCAACTGCGACGTGGATTGATCACTTATTTTTTACAGTCGTTTATGCATCTAGTTCAGGGAATCAGAATGAGAGATAGAGCATATAGATAGCCATGTGAGATTTTAGCCTTCTCGTTTCTTTCTTGTGCGATAGATACCTCTTCCATGATGTGTAACATTCACGTTCCCACTAGTTAGGCTGATTGATGCATAGGATTAGCCCACGACCAAATTGAATGTCCTGGTGTGACATACCCCTAGTTAACCCCCTTGAGCCGTGTAACTTTCTTTCTTTGTGTCTACATTGAAAAATCACCTGTTTGCATCTATTTGAGGTTTCATAGAGTGGTTTTTGCATGTTGTTTGTTGTTTCTACTGGAAATAAGATGAGGGTTGGAGGTAGTTCTTAAAATCAGGGCACGGGGTTGCAAGGATAAAAGAATGTGTAGAAGTAGTGGTTCTCTCAAGAAAAAAGAGAAGAAACAAATGAAAGCAAAAGAGAGCCACCACAAAAATCTTAACCATGCTCATAAAACAGTGTTTCTTGGCAGACTGGCTTGGAAATGCTAACATGTTGTGACCTCCTTCACCCTTGTGCTCTAAAAAACTTGACTAATGCAGAATAGCAGAGAGAGTAAGTAAATGGTCTGTATGAATGTTGTTGTGTTTGGTTTTGGAACTGTGGAACCTTGTGTTACGGATTCTTCCACCACCAAAAAGGCTTTTTCCCCATGTCCAAGACCTATCCAGTCATTTGAACCCGTGTCTAAGACCTCCTGACTAGTTAGTAAAGACATCTGATATGTGAACTCTAGCATTTAGAGGTTGTCGTCATGGTGAATAGACGTTAGGGATTGAGAGTACGAGTATGCACATCTTGCATCAAATTTTGTCCTGTCCCTACTAGTCGAGAGTGAGCGATTCAATTTTCATATTATATACCCCGGTGAGGACCTAGATTGCTCGGTCTTAATTCTGATGTCTTGAATTTTATGCATGAGGTGACTGTCTTGAATAAGTGGTTAAGTCAAATCTATGTTGGTTGGTGAACAAAAGGGAGACTCTTCCTTTACTCGATTTTGCTGCACTCGAATGTCATCTGTGGTGGTTGTCTAGGTTGTCGTTGAGATTGTTCATGTGTTGATGTCTAAAAGCCAGTACAATTCCCGTAATTTGTGCCTATATGATATGTCCCCAAAGTTTGCATGGTTAAAATATTTTGAGCTTACCTTGTATCTGGCTTGATTTGCTTGGGGACAAGCAAACGGTTAAGTGTGGGGGAATTTGATAGCGTCGTATTTGCACATGTTTACACCCTCTTTTCTTAGCCATTATGGCTCGAATTTGTGGTTCATTGTCCTATTTTATGCTAGGTTGTACTTTTTTGTCATATTTCAGGTCCTAGCAGATAAAAGAAGGCTTAGGCGTAAGTTTCAGATCATTTGGAGATCATTTGGCGATTTTGGCGACAAATTACCGTCGACCCCTGTAAAACTACGACTGTAATTCCTATGATTACTGCCGGTATTTTTTATGCCGAGCATGGTGAAGGCTCAGGTGAGAATTACGGTCAGGCTTCCCAGATAAACGACCGGATTTCTCCAGTGTTCAGTCCGTGTTTTTTATGCCGAGGCGAGCCCTTGAACATCTCCGAGGAAAGCCAAAATACGGGCAGGACCGGAAGGAAATAAGACCGTGCTTTTCAAAATACTGCCAGTATTTTTCCCAGAAGCAACCGTGGTTTCTCCGCCTCAACTTAAGCAAAACGCGCGTTTTTGGCGAAATACGGGCAGAGGCGAAATACGACTGTATTCTTGCTCGTATTTCACCCAGAATCGGGGTAAAGAGGGAGATTCGAGCCAAAGTAAGGGGATTCGACTTTTTGGAGCAAAAACATATTTCTAGAGAGAGAAAATGACGAAGAACAAATCCTATGAGCTATTTGGAGTGGATTTCTCACCATTGAAGCCCAGATTGCGTCCTCAAGAGTGAAGATTGACATCCGAGAGTAGGTTATTCCCATCTTTATGAGTATGACTGCTTTGATTTATGTTTTCCTCTCTCTCTCTCTCTCTCTCTCTCTCTCTCTATGAAGTAGACATTTCTCTCACTTGGGTATGAAGAACCCTAGTTCCATGTGTTAAGAATCTTGATTGTAATGACTTTTGGGATGATATACTGCTTGGTTTTAATCGATTGAAGTGTGTTTATTAGTCAATTGAACCCTAATCAAATTCTTTTGATTTCTGCTTCAACCTGTGATAGATAGAATCTGAATAGGTTGTTAGAGTTTCTTCAATTGATAGAAGTGAATTAATTGTTCAAGAGTCAGTCAATTCACTACTTTGTACTGAAATTCATTTCCAGTAGTGGAATTCTGTGTTAATTGCCTTAGCATTCTATCTCGGTGAAGGCTAGTCGTCTGCTTGATAGTCAACCTAAAAAGGCTTAGCCAGCTTAAAAGATTCCAAACTATTTTCAAATCTTCCGCAGTTTAATCAACAGTGAATCAACCAAAGCAAATTACAACTTTAACCTAACTAAGAAGCTAGGGGGGCTCATTCTCGAATCCCGAGTGACTCTTCTCCTGCTTTAGAAAACCGGACAATTTACTTCTTTTATGCTTCCGTTTACAATCATCATCAAACGGATAGAACAAAATGGGATTAAAAGAACTTCAAAAATTCCAGTCAATCATTGTAAACAATGAGCTAGCTAAGCCAAATAGTAGTTGTCGGCAAGCTTCTATTCGCCTGTTCTTACATTACATTACTAATAGTAATGGATCGTTGATTTTCCATGGCGCTTCGACACTCGGATGAATAAACACATTCGCAGCAATAGTCTAACTCTAGTGAATACATTACTGTTTCAACGCACCTACCCATACATAGATACATCAAAATCACTACCAGTGCCTCTTGGATCCTAGAGGAATTACATTGGAACCCGAAATCCTGTTGCCATAACCACCTCCTCCCCCTCCTCGTCCTCTGGATCTGAAGTTCCCTCCTGAACCTACAAACAAAATGAGTTTCAACAAGGATGTCTACATGCCAAAAATAAATAAAAGAACGCCTCCATAGTCCATGGTGGAAGAGAGAGATCTACCTCCGTGCGAGGCTGATCTTGCCATATCAGACAATGCAGGGGGCACAACCTGCCCTGCTTCAGCCAAGATCTTAATAAGATGCCTAGCAAATTTTGCATTTCCATGTGTAAAAAATGTAAAGGCAGTTCCTTTGGCGCCAGCACGCCCTGTCCTCCCTATCCTGTGAATGTAATCTTCAAGACTGGTCGGGAAATCGAAGTTGATGACACATTTTATATCCTTCACATCTACATTAAACAGAGATGCAAACCAATTGAAGTGAGCTCAGGTAACAAAAGATTTTAACAAATCCCAAATTCAGGATATAATACTCAACCCAATTTACTAGATAACAACAAGAAACAGGCTTAGTCAGCTAGGGAAAATCAATGCATGAAGCTCAGGAAGGATCATGATGCATAACAAACTCAGGCATAACCAACACCATCATATCACTGATAGAGAGAAGACTAGACAGACACTAAGCCCTCACTTATCCCTGCACCACTGAGATCCGTGAGATCAATTTAAGATTAACACATTCATCAGATAAATGTGCCCACCTTAGCATTGCAGGGATAAGGATCAGCTTTCACCACCACCATCTAATGTGCAGTCAATTTTTAAATCCATGAGAGTGACCCGGCTGCCAAAAAAATCCAGCTCCATGACCGTGGATGGGCAGACTTCAACCATGTTACTTGAGACAGTGACGAAAATAGCCATGTATTGACAAGGAGAACTAATCAAAGAAGCACTGAAATCTAAGTTCCCCATTACTAGGTACCAGCTCCTGCTATGCCAAAGGTGCCGCTACAAATCCACTAAGCCAACTAAAAGGAACATGTAAGTTTATCCCAGAAAAATTTTAAGAAAATGTAGCAGCTATTTAGTAGACCATGCTATCTTTCTCCAAGAAACACGACCCACAATAATACGATGCCCAAGTAGGGTTGTATTCCATTGAAATCTGAGAAACTGACTGCCTCTCAATCCAACTTGAAAACCTCCTTGAATCACAGAATTGTGAACAATTTAAATCCATCCCTTCACTTGGCTCATATGTATCCTCCACTTGTACCCATACCACTAACAGTATCCCAGGAACTGGAAAGCAGCCGGCGACTCACCTATCTCCTCATTTCAAAACAACAAGTGAAACAGACTCTAGACTCTTAACACAGAATATTCCTACCAAGACCACGGGCAGCAACATCAGTGGCAGTCATTATAGGACTTCTGCCACTCTTGAATTCAGAAAGAACCCAATCCCTTTCAGCCTGATTTTTGTCTCCATGGATGGATAATGCTGGCCACCCATCCATTCTCAATTGCCTTGTGATTTGGTCACATCCCTTTTTTGTCTCTGTAAATATAAGAATTCGACTACCATCCATCACTTCTTTTAGCAGATTCGCCAGTCTGCATGGACAAGCATTGTTAAGCGTTACAGCTTCAAGAAAATAAGCATCTGTGTATAGCGGCATAAACAAGTTCAAACCTGTTATACTTCTGAACATCTGTAACAACTTCGATTACTTGATTTATGGATTGATTTGCTTTTAGATCGGCCGAACCAATGATTACCTGAAGAAGAAAGAAATAACTTTTAAGAGTTGGGATAACTCAGGCTATAGTCTTTTGCTGTACAACCAGCTTTTACACAAACCATATTACTAATGATTAATAATAATAAGAGGGGGACTTAAACCTTGTATGCATTTCGCAGAAACTGTCTTGCTAGTGTTTCAACTTCTTTTGGCCAGGTGGCACTCCAATACAATGTTTGTCTATCAGGTCGGATCTAACAGAAAAACAAACCTTATATATCCAAGGGCTACAAGAAAAAAATTGCAAAACAACTTTGCGACAGAAAAACAACTGATTTATGACATACTTGAGATATAATTTTCCTGATCTGGGGCTCAAAGCCCATGTCTAACATCCTATCAGCCTCATCCAAAACAAGGTATGTTACTCTTCGCAGGTTTGTATGTTGAGCTTCCAACATATCAATCAACCGACCAGGGGTCGCAATGACAATTTCAACACCTGGTGCAATGCAAAGGACAAATTGCTACGAAACCATTGCTCTTACATCTACATAAATTTGTTGAAAAACACTACTCAAAGTCGCTGCAAAGTACCTCTTTTCAGATCACGAATTTGTGGGCCCTTTGGAGCACCACCATACACACAGGTACTCCTAGTATAAGAACGGGCACCAAACTTTGCAGCTTCTTCTTGAATTTGAACAGCTAATTCTCGTGTAGGAGCAAGCACCAACACGATTGGACCTTCACCTTGGGCTGGAAAGAGACATAGGGGCCATCAAATAAGCTCTCCAGCTTGACACTAAGGCGACCTCATCGAAAGCATGATTTTAACGTACATACCCAATCTAGGCTGTGCACCAACATGAACCAACGCAGGTAACAGGTAGGCTAGGGTCTTCCCGGAACCTGTCTCAGCAATACCAATCAGATCCCTACCCTTTAGAGCCATGGGCCAGCCTTGAGCCTGAATTGGTGTTGGCTCAACAAAACCCAACTTAGCAATCACGTCTAAGCAGTAGTCTGACAACATAGGGACATCAAATTAATTCTGAGATGGAAAACAACAGTTCAATGAGGTGAAAATTTCAAATATCTACAAGCACATGGAAACCGACCTGGGAAGTTGGCGTCCTGAAACATCCGAATGGGCTTAGGCACGTCATGCCCTTCGACCGTAATGTCTCTTCTCGAACGATACATCATTACGTCCTGCTCTGACATAGCTCGAACTGCAGGGCACTCAATGTAGAAGTTCTTCTCGAAAGGAACCAAATTTCCAAATTCCTGGTTCGGCAGGGCAATGTTATCTAAATCGCCTCTCGAAGACCCACCGCCATACCTACCTCCCCTTCCACCACCACGGCCTCCATCAAATCCCCGGCCACCACCACGGCCTCCACCGTCACGGCCCCTTCCACGACCACCATCAAACCTCCTATCCATGATACCGGCACCACCATATCCCCTTCTGCCACCTCCTCCGCGCCCGATATCGAACCTGCCCGCAGGCGGATTGAAAGGTGGATATCCATCGGAAAAAACAGGACCGTTTCCTCCCGCTGCAAATGGCATCGATTGCGTATGCCCACCATAAGGCACCGCTCCACCGCGCGGATAGGCGCCACCAGCCATTACCGGAGGTCCGATCAAGTCACTAACCCGCAATTTTAGAACATCCAAGGCATAAAATGGTTAGGGCTAACCTAAAATAAAACAAATTGAAACAGCAAAGCAGAAGAGTTGAGGAGGCGAGAGGAAAAAGCTTTTCTCCCAAGTACCTGCGACGATGACGGTAGGATTCCGGGTCGGAGTATCTAGGGTCGTAAGGGTTCATTGCTTCTGTTATTTCCCAAAAAGAGACTGGGGTTTCAGGCTTTCAGTGCTTCGAGAACACGGCGACATGAAAGGAAGCTAAGCATATGGCGTCTGTCTGTCAATTCACTTTTTTTTTTTAACGTATACATCCAATAACAATAAGGAAAAAGCATACTAAAGAGTTGAGCAACCAAACATACTAGTAATTAGTAACTAGTCGACCAATGTTCTAAAAAAAAAGTTCTCAAAACTAAATAGCCGAATTACACTTACAAATGAAAGGATCATTTTGCCACTAAATTGGAAATCATGTTACCGGTTTGATATAAATGAATTTCATAAGTTTTTAGAAATTTATTTTGTAATGAATTTATTTTGTGTTTGGTATATAAAAGAATTCATTTTCAATTCTAAATTTTGAATTCTACGAAATTGTTATCCTGACCTGAACTATGTACCATACTTCCTAACTTGGCCCAGAGTCGAGTTTGACCGTCAAATTGGACAGTTAACTTCGTTGACCGTTAGTCAATGGTCAACTCACTTGCCACGTCATCAAGCAAGGTATAAAAAATTGTATTTTTTGAATTTTAACTTTTATTTTATTTTCTCATAATAATAATAATAAAAAAACAAAGAGGATAATGATTTTCTCTTCACAAACTTCCCTGCTCCCAATTCTAAGACCCTCGCATGCCTCTCTCACTCTCTCCTGCCCATTCCAAAGACGAGTGAAGAGGGAGGGAGAACATCCTCATTTTTGGAACTCGGATATGTTTGAGCATCAAGCTCCATATTTGGGAACGAATGGACAACGGCAACTAGACATCCTAACTCATCGATCAAGACCTCGAAACGAGGCCATGGTTACGGATTTGGACAGGTAGATAGCTAGAGAAGCTAGTTTTGGATCGACGGATGACGACGAGGTGGGCAGTGGCAATGAAGAAGCCCATTTAGACAGGAGCTGAAGCGCTTTACACAAATCAGAAGTCGTAACCCTAAAATGGCTACCAGAAGGGTGTTTGAAGGGTAGAGTCAGAGAGCGGGATAGAGAGCGGCAAGGGAGTCCGGCTCCGTGGAGAGAGGTGGAAGCGTCGGAGGAGAGGCGGGGGAGCGTTGGCGGCGGCGGTAAAAGGGAAGGAGGATGGATTTGGCGTTCGGGGAAGAAGGGTGTTTGGGAAATCGTTTTTCCCAGATTGAGGTGGAAGGGGAGGAGATAAATTGGGGGTTTTGATTTTTTCCACGAGTATTTGCTAATTATAATAAAATAACATAATTATCCTCATTTATTCATTAAATTACTTCTACATATATTATTTAGCGTCAACTCAGTAGTATGAGGAACATCGATAAGAATTTGATTGCAACGCCAGTAGCAGATGTTGGTTATTTGATATTTCTGCTTCAATTGTATTAGTACGTTGAGAAGACACAATTTTTTGATAAACGGAGAAGACACAATTAGAGTGTACGGTTCATTGACGAAATATTTAAAAAGAACTAATGAATAGAATAGAAATACATAAGAACACATTCGATGTTCTACTTATGGGACCAAAATCATTTTTAGAAGATGGATTACAATAAATATTGTTTATGCATGAAATTAATAAGGGTGTAATTGAAATTTTTTAGTTTAATTCAATTCTAAACGTATCCCAAACATGGTTTCAGAAATGAATTCATTTTATTTCTAAATATTTGAATTTGACATACCAAATTTAAGAATTCATTTGACAATGAATTCTACATAGTAATTCATTTTAAAATGAAATGAATTCTCGATTCATTTGGTACCAAACAGTGTATAAACCGATGAGTGATTGTAAAAGAGAATGAAATGGGGTGAGGGGGGACCTATTGCTGGATATCCTTCGGTATAGCTTCACCAGTGTCATGTTTTATTTCTCCAACCATCACTCGCCGAAACACAAAATATGAGTTGTCATAAAAACTTATAACCAAAAAATTATGAGTAACATACCAAAGCATAGCATCCCTAGTTGCTATTAATTCAAGGGTAAATACGATATAATATCAAATCTTTCATTTCAAACAAAATAATAGTCAAACCGTTGTAAAAATCAATTTAATATCCTTTCTTCCTTCGAGTCGAGTCGTTCCACCGTGAGATTCCAGCTGAGCACGCAATTGAGCTGCGTGTTATTCCCCGCAGAGGCAACAAATCTGAAGTAGGAGATATGGTGGTGGTTTTTTTTTTTTTTGTGGAATGGAATCTGAAGTTGAAGATGTTACACGGCTTTCACTAGAAAAGAAAAGAAACTATAACATGGCATTCAGTAGAATGTGGCTTCCAAATCATGAAATACATGAGGATGTTATTGGGAGCAGATCAGGTCAGTAACTGATGAGTCAGTAACCCCTTCTCCGGTCCTCACGTGTCAGCTTCCCTTTTTATTTAAATTAAATGCAAAAGGACAGGAAGGTAAATTTGTACTTACCCCTATTTATTGCTGACGCTGACTTTTGACCAGACCATATCAGCGCCTCCTTCTCTCTCATAGAAAAACCTTTAATTTTCTTTCCTTTAATCTTTAACGGACGATTTCTCACTCGTTTTAAGTCAGAATTTAATTTTTTTTACACAGTTAGATCAGATTAATTGTGCTCTTCAAAATGATATCCATTTTGATATTTTTTGGACATAAAAAAATTTGTCAGTTATTACAAGTCAATACCATATGGTATGACTGGTATTAAATAAGACCATACCATATGGTATGAAAAATTTGCCACATCAATATATGTTTCGTTACCACCCAATACCATATGGTATAGTGTGGTAATATCAATATATATTTGGTAATACCACCCAATACCATATGGTATAGTGTGATAAATCAATATATATTTTGTTACCACACAATACCATATGGTATATTGTGGTAATATCACACAATACCATACAATACCATATGGTATAGTGTGGTAATATCAATATATATTTCGTTACCACACAATACCATACATTATCATATGGTATAGTGTGGTAATATCAATATATATTTTGTTACCACCCAATACCATATGGTATAGTGTGGTAATACCAATATATATTTCGTTACCACACAATACCATATGGTATAGTGTGGTAATATCACACAATACTATATAGTATAATGCGGTAATATCAATATATATTTCGTTACCACACAATACCATATGGTATAGTGTGGTAATATCAATATATATTTCATTAGCACACAATACCGTATAGTATAGCATGTTAATATCAATATATATTACCTAAAAGAAAAAAAACAGAAAGAGGGAGAGGGGAAAAAAACTCGTCTTCTATTTCGTCTCATTTCCTCCGCAATCAAGAACACCAAACGCCAAAAAAGGGAGAAAGACCGAAATTGAGGCCAACGAGTTGATGAAGAGACAAAAAACGCAATGAAAGAGGGTGGCTGCAATTTTTCTTCGTCGATTGCTGGAGAGAAAAAACGAAAAAAGAAGAGAAGGAAGCAGATCTAGATATGGAGAAAGAGATTGGAGAGAAAAAAAGGAACAGAGAAAGAGAAATGATAGATTGAGAGAGAAAAAAGAAGAGAAAAAGAGAAAAGAGAGTTGCAGAGAAATGATTCTCTCTCCTCCTTTGAAAAAGACAGCCATTAAAAGTGGTCTCCTTTTTTTGAAAAAGTGGCCATTAAACTTGGAATATAATAAAATAAAAATTCATAAACGGATAAAAATGCCCTTCTGGACCCCGCATTCAGCACAGCCGCATGATTAATCCGCCCCTAGATCTACGGTGTGCATGCATTTACTGATAGGTCAGCCAGACCGATGTTATTGGCTGATTGTTTTTTCTTGGTCTTACCGAGGAGACAGAAACCGCTAGCCTCCATTAATTACTTCCCAATTCCATTCCGCAAATAAAACTCACTGTGATTTTTGCGGCTCCGATGGGAGGAGCGGTGGCGCATGGTGGTGGTGGTGGAAGAAGGAGGCGGCGGCGGCGTGGTGGTGGAGGAGGAAGAAGGAGGCAGTGGTGGCATGGTGGTGGTGGAGGAAGAAGGCGGCGGCGGTGGATCCAAATTGACGGGGAGATGAGTGGATGTCGGGGATGAATGGAGAAGATGAAGGGATTTATCTTTTCCTTTTTAAATTAAGGGCTCGTTTGGCTAATTAGAGTCTAAATCTCTAGATTCTAAACAATCCAAAGATTTGAACTCTTCGAAATTGTTGAAAAAAGATTTGAAAATGTTCATTGTTTGATAACTGCGATTGTTAACATACAATAAAAAAGAAATTATATTTGTTTATAAAATGACATATTTATGCTTAACCAAAATAATTAAATTGGCTCAAAAAAATATTGAAAAATTTATCAATATGGATATTTAGTGGGATAAATTAAAAAAAGTAAGAGAGAGAGAGTAAGAGAGAGAAAACCTCTAAAATCAAGATGTAGAATCTCTCTAATTAGGAGAGATTTGATATCTCTAGATTTTAGAGATTTAAAATCTCTAAACCTACAATCCACGATACAAAAAGTAGCAAAAAAAAAAAACATAACATTTTGCCAAATCTATGGATTCAATAAATCATCATCCAAATCTTGTTCTCCAAACGACCCCTAAAAGAAGATCAATTTGTCTAGTAAAAAATTTATTATTTGTCACATCATTTCCAACTCAGCTCACTTTAGAGTCAACTAACAGTTGATCGGACAGAAAATGAACGGATTGGCTATTAAATTGATTTCAAAAAGATTTGGCTATTATTTTATTTAAAATGAAAGATTTGTCTATTATATTGTGTTTAAACTAATTTCATAAGAAAGGAACCATGGATACATTCATAATATTTGTCATAAGCGAAGATTCTAGCTACTATTAGTGCATAACCCACAAAGCTTGCGCCACCTCCCTTTGTTCAGTTTTACGAACCATCAATTTCACCAAAACCTCACGTTCTAGGCAGGTGTAGTCACTAATGTAGTCAAAAGTTAGCTTTACAATTTAAACCTCCAAAAATTTGTAGCTTTTATCCCGAAAGCTTTTTGTACAAAAAGCCCAAGTAAAAGCGCTCAAGCGTAGTAAAAGTCTTAGATGCTAGCTTTTAAAACGATTTTTATACTTTTGATATTTGCATTTTAGGATCATATTGGGTCGTGATTCGGTTGGTTTTGCTGGGGGAAAATGACATTGTTTTAATTAAGTCGAGTTATACTTTCGGCCTTTCATTTAACGAATATCTAATCCATATTTCATTTTCGTTTCTCCTCCATTCTTCTCTTCTCACTACCTGCAAAATCATCACATGTCGTGCTATTGTCCAATAACCAACGTCCTCTCTGATGGCTCCAATTAACACTGCCTGTAACTTACTCTTCTACCGACTCCACTATATGTTGCAACTTCGATATCGTCATTCGACATGATAACCCGGCCAAACTTTACAAATCCTGCTCCATGGAAGAATTTTCTCCATCAGTCTCTCATTTGCCATTTCTTTCATTGATTAGTGAAGTCTGACAACCATCCTTCTTATTTCATCATTTGCCATTGGTTTCCTCTTCTTCTTTTCTTCTTCCCTGAAAGCAGCATGAAGGTGTTCAATAGTTGCTAAGATCCTATTAATTTAGTTTATCTATGTACGAATGATCTTTTAAATATGAGCTACTTCACTTATGTGTTCATATTTTGCAGAATACAAGTTCAAATATTTACAACATTTCTATCATAGTTACATATGATCGGCAAAAGATTAAACTTTTACGTTTCAACTTTTATCCATCATTTTGCCTCTACCTAGAAGTTATATTTTGACAGCATTGGTCGTCACCATGGGAATGATTTGGAGAAGCCATGTCCAATGAGGCTGCATGTTGACATCTGCTGCAAATTGAGAGCGAGGATGCTTTGCAAAGGCGGCTTGCCATTCATCAAGATGATTTCAAAAATTGGCGGAACAGTAGGGGCACAGTTATTGGACGAAGTCATACGTGAACCAACATCATCCTTTCTAGACACACCACAACAAGAAAATGATCTTCGAAACTTCCATCTTTGTCAAGTGCAGGCAAAAAACGAAAAAGGTGTTGCCAAGCAGCGTTTAGATCCATGGGGGCAATGTCAAGTGAATTTACTCCAACTCTACCAGCTGACAAAGTATAGAATCACACG